AGTCTGGGCCTGACCCCAGACCTGCCCCAGCATGACCCCACTGGACAAGCAGCTCCCACGGGTTGTGGGCAGAATTCAAAAGACAACCTCAGCAAGTGCCCCCACCCATCCTGGATGAGGAGAGAGGAGGAAGGAGTTCATAGGTCACAAACTTTCATTTCTACAAGACGCAGTCTGGTAACATAAATGAGTGGAAAAATCAGGCAGGGAGACATATGGCCATTGAAGGTGACAGCCCTAACTCAGAGGGAGCGACCCTACCGTGTGATACATGCATGAGGCAAAAATTAGTTTTAAGTAGTACACAAGACTCAAGAGTCAGCACCTTCCCCAGCCCCCGATGTCTTCTGAGGGCAAATGTGGTTTTGGAGAGGTCTTTCCTCTAAATCCTGGTGGGCAAACTATTCCCGAATCAGACAGCAGGTGGCGCGCAACTCAGAGAATTGAAAAAAGAACTGCGGCGAATTACTTAACTCATTTCCAGTAACTTCTCCCTCCTCCCCCACAAGGCCTTCCCCAGCCCCACCTCCTGTTCCCCGGCGTGGGCCAAGCCTCCCAGATGTCCAGTTCCAGATGCCTGGTCTCAGAGTGGGGAAATTACCTCTGGAGAAGCCCCCACTCCACAAGCTGCCAAGGCAAGATGTGAGTGTGCCCTTGAAGAGGCCTGGAAGAAAGGGAAGTGGCCCTGGGGCGGGGGAGGGGGAGGTAGACCCAGGGACACACACACACACACACACACACACACACACAGCCAATTAATGCCCAGGGAGCTGGAATTTGCCTGTAGCCTCTAGCAGCCTTCCCCAGCCTTCCTGCCCGAGCCAGGAAACCAACATATTGAAATGTCCCTCCCTCCTACCACCATTGCTCCCTCAGATCCCGGGGGGCGGGGGGGTGGGGGTGAAATTTGCTGAAGCAGGGAGCAGCCCCCTACTTTGATTGAGACTCGCCAGGGAGATGAGCAATGGTGGAAAACTCACAGTCCAAGCTCAGGCTGGCTAGGAGGCTCAGGGTGAGGAGGGACGATGAGGGAGTGGCCAGCAGGTGCCGGGGCCCCAAGGACTGAGGCCACAGCTCTGTGGCCACATGTTGCTCTCACCCACGCACAGGTGGTGGCTACTCCTCTGGGGAGTCCTCCAGGCTTGCCCCACACAGGGCTCCGTGCTCTTGGCCCAGCAGCTACCCCAGCAGCTGACATCCCCCGGGTATCCAGAGCCATATGTCAAAGGCCAAGAGAGCAGCAGTGACATCGAGGCTCCAGAGGGCTTTGCCGTGAGACTTGTCTTCCAGGACTTTGACCTGGAGCCGTCCCAGGACTGCGGGCAGGACTCTGTCACAGTGAGCTGTGGTGGGGGTCCTGGAGGGACTCTGGGGAGGAAGGCTCCTGGCCTGGAGCCCAGAGGCAGGGGGGTGTGGCTGTGCCCTGAATGGCAAAAGATGGCTGACGAGTCCAAGTCAGGGGCTCAGGCAGCTTACCTGGGAGGCCAGGATCTGCCCCAGGGCACAGCCTTCAACCAGCGACCCTGTCCCTGCCCGCGTTACCGTGTGGGCCCCACAGAGCAAAAGAGCAAAAAAGACTTCCCTGCCTTTGGAAGTCGTACAGAGGGACACACAAGTACCGCCAAACCCTGGAGTAAAAGAGCGGGGACTCACATAGCAGTCGTTAAAGATCCATCGAGTATTGGTGGAGCGCAGGCTCTGTCAGATCAGGAGGCTGGGCGTAAATAATCATAAAAGACCAGGTGACGGTTCAAGTTGCAGAATAAGAACACTCTAGAAACGGCCCCTTATCTTGTCTCTTGGGTTAAATTTTATTCCTATCGAAATAATACCGTGCACATAGTTCTTTTTAAAAATGAGTATAGTCCAAGGCTGATCAGGGAAACAGCGGTCCAGCCTTCTTCCCAGCCCCACTGCCCCTCCCGGGGAAGCACCTACAGTTCATGTAGCTGCTCCGTCTGGCATTTACGCCCATATGTATAAATAGCATGCTTATTATGTTACTTTTTTGCATCTGATCACTTAATATCTAACTATAGAAGATGAGGACTCTATTTACCTCTCTTAGACCTTCCACATGTCCCCACCCCCGTCATCCCTGTCAACCACCATTAGCATTTCTAATTAACTCTGTACTCATTATTTGCATTCTCTTGACTTTAAAACATTCACTTCAGGGATGCCTGGGTAGCTCAGTCGGTTAAGCATCCGACTTCAGCTCAGGTCATGATCTCATAGTTCATGAGTTTGAGCCCCACGTAGGGCTCTGTGCTGACATCTCGGAGCCTGGAGCCTGCTTCAGATTCTGTGTCTCCCTCTCTCTCTGCCCCTCCCCTGCTCCCGCTCTAACTCTCTCTCTCTCTCTCTCAAAAATAAAGAAAACATTAAAACAATTAAAATATTCACTTCTGAGCATATGGTGTACCATAATTCTATGTCCTTGTTTCTCCAACTTTTGGGTCTCCCAGGAGTCGGTAACCACATGGACTTTTAGGGGTTTTCTGTTTGTTTTTTATTTGATTTTTAGTTCTGTCTGTAACTAATCTCCCCAGACTCTTAGCCAGGAAAGTAAATATCCTCTCTATATAATCGACACAATCAACCACACATCTCAATCTCTAGTCCTCCTTTGTACTGGTGACATCCCCCTGAAGAGCTCTTGGTGATTTATCTCCTCAGTCTGAGTCCCCTGCTGTCTAGAGCCTCAGGCATTCTGGGAGTTCCCTACCCTTCCTTCTGGGCATTTCCTTTACGTGTCCTGTGTTGGAACTGAATCCCGTATCATTCTCTTCTTGGTATAGTACCCCATTTGGGGGGAGAACATTCTGCTCCAGAAAGAGCAAGAGAAAATAACTTGTAAAGGATCGTACATACCCTGAATGTCCCAGCTCTACCCTCACCATTGATGGACAATTGATTTGGGTTGCTTGCTGGGTTGGAAGTCATTTCCCCTCAGAATTTGGATGATACTGTCTACTTGCTCTAGTGTTGTTAGGCTGGTACAATTATGATTCCTGGTCCTTAGTTCTTTCTCTCCAGAACTTTTGGAACATTTTCCTTATTGCCAATTTTCTAAATTTTCATTCTGATGAGCCTTGATATGAGTCTTTTTCTACTCATTGTACAGGGTTTTTTTAACCTAGAGACTTTTTATTATTTTTATTTGTGTTTGTTCACTTTATTTATTTAGTTAGTTAGTTTCAGGGGTTGCGGGAAAGGGCAGAGGGACAGAGAGAACCTTAAGCAGGCTTCATGCCCAGCATGGAACCCAACACGGAGCCCAATGCAGGAC